TTGCCTTCACCCGGCACTAGTGCGTTGCCCATGACCTTCCTTAAAACCCAGTCGCCCACTTGCTCGTTTCCTTCGAGGTTGTCTCCGCGGTGGACGTCGCTGCATCATCCTCTACTCGGATGTGCTCATTGATGCGCTGCATTAGGTGCCACATGGATGTCTGCTGGTTCATTGTAAGCGAATCCCTCAGCCTATGTCCGAGCGGGAGACCGCGCTTGTATTGCGTGATTGCAAGGTTGACCGGGCAATCCAAGATCTCGTTGAAGGTTTCCCAATACCTCGAGTTGTATGCCTTCAGTGTGTCGCTCGGTTCCATCTTGACACTAAGTAAATGATCGACTTCCTTTGGTGTTTTTGTGTTGGTTTTGAAGCGCGTCACAAAGGCTTCGGCCAACTCATGCCACCGTTGTATGCTCCCTTTACAGCACTAAAATGTGTATCAATCTGGAAGTATGAAGTGTTTTGATCTGAGCTTGAGTCTCATCTGTTTGTTGACACTGGATGAATGTGAATATATTATGTATGGTTCACTGTTGTAAGATTGGCCAGGTTCTGAGCCATATTGATAAAGTTGGAAAGTAAAACGTGTCTTAGACAATAGTGTCATGAGACTATAAAATGAAGTAATTGATTATCTTGGTTAACCATCTGTTGAATGCTATTGCTTTATTCATTGCTTATATGTGGTTAAAGACAAAGCTCATAAGATGGAGTAGGTTATCCCTACCTTGAATGATGGGGCTCAACGAAGGAGACGAAGAAACGGAAATGCTCCAAATCTCGAAATTTTCAGATTAGAAGATAGCCCTCGACGATCAACACAACTTTTGTAAAGGCCCAAGGTGAGAAAACAACTCCTACTAGATCAATCCTAAGAGAGAAGTTAGGGTTTTAGTGAGAGGAGCTCTCAAAATAGCTTTTTGGAAAAGTAAGAGAGAGAAAGGATGTTGAAAAGTGAACAAAAAAGTCGGATCTCGGCTTTATATAAAAGTCGCCCCGCTCGAGCGGTCAAAGCCCCGCTCGAGCGTCACTTACAGATCCTCGCTCGAGCGTCCAATTCCCCGCTCGAGCGGCGGATGCACGCTCCCAGAACTTTTACAGACATGGTGCCCGCTCGAGCGTCAAACTCCCCCGCTCGAGCGACGGATGCACGCTCCCAGAACTTTTACAGACATGGTGCCCGCTCGAGCGTCAAACTCCCCCGCTCGAGCGACGGATGCACGCTCCCAGAACTTTTACAGACATGGTGCCCGCTCGAGCGTCAAACTCCCCCGCTCGAGCGACGGATGCACGCTCCCAGAACTTTTACAGACATGGTGCCCGCTCGAGCGTCAAACTCCCCCGCTCGAGCGACGGATGCACGCTCCCAGAACTTTTACAGACATGGTGCCCGCTCGAGCGTCAAACTCCCCCGCTCGAGCGACGGATGCACGCTCCCAGAACTTTTACAGACATGGTGCCCGCTCGAGCGTCAAACTCCCCCGCTCGAGCGACGGATGCACGCTCCCAGAACTTTTACAGACATGGTGCCCGCTCGAGCGTCAAACTCCCCCGCTCGAGCGACGGATGCACGCTCCCAGAACTTTTACAGACATGGTGCCCGCTCGAGCGTCAAACTCCCCCGCTCGAGCGACGGATGCACGCTCCCAGAACTTTTACAGACATGGTGCCCGCTCGAGCGTCAAACTCCCCCGCTCGAGCGACGGATGCACGCTCCCAGAACTTTTACAGACATGGTGCCCGCTCGAGCGTCAAACTCCCCCGCTCGAGCGACGGATGCACGCTCCCAGAACTTTTACAGACATGGTGCCCGCTCGAGCGTCAAACTCCCCCGCTCGAGCGACGGATGCACGCTCCCAGAACTTTTACAGACATGGTGCCCGCTCGAGCGTCAAACTCCCCCGCTCGAGCGACGGATGCACGCTCCCAGAACTTTTACAGACATGGTGCCCGCTCGAGCGTCAAACTCCCCCGCTCGAGCGTATACCACTGCAGATGAAAAACTGGATGGGTGATTTCCTCGCTCGAGCGCCAACACCCCCGCTCGAGCGGACAAGCAACAACAGAGTCCCGCTCGAGCGTCAAAAGAGCCGCTCGAGCGGAGGGACCAAAAACTGGGCAAGGATTTCTAAGTTTTAAAACATCACCAACTTATTCCCAACAAGTCCAACATAACCCAAAACTCTAAGATAAAGAGTAAGGGATAGAAAAGAGGATAAGACAACAACAAATCTACGGAACCTCCGGATTACAGTTCAATAACAACAGGGAATACCGGGATCGCTATAACCTACCCCCCTTAAAGAATTTCGTCCTCGAAATTAAGGATACGCCAAAACATAAGGCCAACTGATCACACAACACCAACACCCGAGTACTAGGAAAGAAACTACTCTCACTACAAACCTTTAATCCACTCTTACCAAGGAAGAGACTAACCGAGGGAACACGTTCCAAATGACAACACTGTAGGCATGAAAGCCACAACAAAATCAACCCTTCTGAAACAGTTTACTCACATCTGACCAGCGCTTCAAGCTAAGTCACTATGCAACAACACGACCAAAGCAAACCTTTTGAGTAAATAATAAGAAAACATTCCTAAGATTTTACTTGCATGAGAAAAAAGGAAATTTGATTCTATTTAATGCTTGGGAAGGGGAGGAGTTTTTGGAAAGATTGTAATTACATTTCATTGATAATGTATGTGTGTTAGAAATTGATGAAACCTTGAACTCGTTTTGGTGTCATATGTTATTACTATTGATAAACCTATTGTTTGAAAGTTTTGGTCTTGGTAACCGGTAGAGGATTACCGTGTTGGCATTTAAATGAGGAGATCCTTGAAAAGGTAAGAAAATGTTTGATTTTGTAAGTTTGTTTTATATAAAGAATATTGTTGAATTGTCTTGAAAAGACTAAGTTGAAAGTTATTGATTTACATGTGGTACATATATGAACATTGACATTATTATATTATCTCTTGGAATTGTATCATGATATTACATTGATAGAGATATGAGATTTGATCACAATGGAACATTGTATGGTGGAATTGAAATTGGAACTATCTTAATGCATTGTTACATATTGTATTGCCATTCCATTTCATTGTTATCATGGATTTTGAATTGTAATTGAAAACTATTGTTTTGATAAATGAATTGTTTTTGGGAAACAAGATCATTTGGATTTGTTTTGGGTAAATACGTTGGTAAGTCCGGATAGGGAGTGCAGTTTGATGTTGGTTTAAGTTGGCCTGAGTGTCCATGGTGAAAGACTAAAAACACGCGCGGAGGAGGTACCATTGCCTTTCTGGTGAGAGACCGGTAAAGTGGGAATTCGGTAGTGCTTGATATGCCTACTTGCAGACACCGGCCTAAGGATTATTAGAGTCGTATTTACTACTTTGAAATTTTATTGAAATTGTTAGATTAACGTGTTTTCAAATTGGTATTGTGCATGAGATTTTCAAAAGATGAGAAGAATATTTTGAGCATGACATGACATATGCATTCATCTCATAAGACCGTATAAAAATGTATTTAATGCTTTGTTAGATGTCATTATGAATGATTTAGTTATTTGATTCAATTGGCAATGGGATAATTGAACGAATTGGAATAGGATGTCCTATTACTATTGAAGCATGTTTATTTATTTAAGTTAACTAATTGTGGTTAATTAAATAAATTTGATTTAGGAGATTATGTCATAAAATTCTATGGTTTGACATAATATGATTTCACGTATATGTATGAATACCTTTGTACCCTCATATCTTTTAATGTTTTAATATGAGATCGTTTGGTGAGCTAGTGGTTACTCACCCCCTGCCTGTACATGTGTACAGGGAATGCTTTTCGGATTTGAAAATTAAACAATGGGTTTTACCATTCATAAGTGTAATGTAATGATGGATTGTACTACTTCATCTGTTTATTTGGCTGAATGCTATCTTTCGTAGTAGTGTCCTCTCTTTTATTGTAAGCCTCTGGACATTTATTTTATTTGTATGTAAATATCCTTGTTGTATCACGAGAGGGAACATATATATTTAATTATTTATCATTTCATTAAATGATGAATTGTCATTTGTAAATGAACTTAATTAATGAATATTGGTAATGTTATCCGAGTAGTAAAATTTGGGGCGTGACATTATTGGACAAATCAAAGTGGGCCTAATTTGTATAACAAACATGGCCCAAGTATTAAAGTGGGCTTTTACTATTGATTTGCTAAATTCCAGGCCTAAAAACGGGATGTGCTGAAAGGTTTGGGTTTTAAATTTAAATAAGCCGAGCAATTTTTTTGCAATACCAAAGGCTTTTGGTTTTCATAGGCTGAAGTTGAATGTCCATTACTTAGCTTGATAAAATCTCACATTAACAAACTTTTACCTTCTTTGAGTGTTATTTTCAAAAAATTGTATAGATTCAAAATGCCAATTTAGGTTATGAGTCACAATACCATTATAAAATCCTAACTAAAAACACTACACTATTGATCATAACTAACACTGGTGTCATAACAAAAAAGATACATCGTAACAAAGATGGAAAAAAAATCATCAAGTTATAATCAATACCACAATGGTCCATAATTTTTATATCACATTCAATCATTAAAAAATAAATAAATAAATAATTTAAAAAAAGAAAAAAAAGAAAGAAAACTAGTTTGGCTTATAATTAATACTGCATAACCAACATTTCAATGAAGATAAATTTATTCTTCTTTATTAAAATATCCAATTTGTAGAATTATGTTACAAGCAGAAAGTACTGGTATTACTTCAAAAGAGAAATTACAAATTACACAAAAGCATTATTGAGAATTACACTCACAAAAGCTAATAGCACCCACATAGATAAAAATTACAAAATAAAATACTGCTTACTGAGTTAGATTCATCTTCTCTTCCTTTGCACCCTTCTCCAAGTTTGCTTCCTAGTTCCAAATTTCTCAACAAACCATTCATGATACCTTGTGGTCAGAGTGTGCCCAATAACCAACCCAACTATTAGCCCACTACCATAACCCAATGATATGATAATCCAGTCAACAACACCACTTGGAAACTTTGAATCATCACCATGAAAGCTGAAAGATGGTGGTGGTGAGGCGTCTGAATTTCCACATAACTTCGATAGAGGGTAGCCACACAACCCAGAATTCCCATCATATGAATTGTTTTCAAATGTATCAAACTGATTCCCACGAGGAATACGACCAGTGAGATGGTTATGAGAAACGTCTAGGACTTCAAGGAAAGTGAGTTGGATTAGTTGCTGAGGGATCTCTCCTGAGAGCAAGTTCTGCGAAAGGTCCAATGATTCCAGCTCGGTCAACTTTGCCAACGATGATGGGATGACACCAGTGAGATTGTTGTTGGAAAGGTTTAACATCTGAAGCCCTTTGAGCCTTCCAAGAGATTCAGGAATTTCCCCTCCGAATTTGTTGTTTGACAAATCAATAGCTATGAAGGCCTTTTGGATTTTCGTGTATAATCTATGTGTGCCTTTGTCATCCATTGTTACTGAATACATGTAAGGCGTCACACTCCAAATTATGCCTTTCAATCTTGAATTTATAGTTGTTGTCACTAAAACTTCATTACTTGCCTGCATATATGTTAAATTTTCTCTCTTGATCATTGTCATTGCATTCCAGTTTTCAAAGTATTCTGAAGGTAAGTTACCTGAGAAACCATTGTCAGAGAGGTCAATAATGCGCAACATTGGAAATTTTATATTCGTTTTAGAAACAGTAATGGCACCATGAAATCTGTTAGATCGCAAAATAAGAACTTGTAACATAGGAAGAGCTCCCAACCAAGAGGGAAAAGTATCCTCCATCTGATTATTTCCAAGAACAAGAATCTCAAGCATCATACAATTTTGCAATGATCTTGGCACCAACCCATGTAAATGATTTTGACTTAGATCAATCATCTTCAAGTTGATCCCCATCATGGGAGGAATAGTGCCGTGAAAATTGTTGCGACTTAAATTGAACACCAACAGAGAATCACTAAAACTGGACAAACATTTAGGAATTATGCTACTCAAGTTATTATCAGACAGATCAAGAATTTGAAGAGAACTATTGTGGCAGATCATTGATGGTGGAATTTCTCCGGATAATGAGTTACCATTGACCAAATAAACAATGGTGGACGGTGGTGGAATTGGTAGTGATCCTTGTAGTTTATTAAAACTGAGGTCTAAAGATATTACTGACTGCCATGGAATGACATCTGGATGCTGTTCAAAACCTGTCAGAAAGTTGTTTTGAAGCTCGACATCTTCCATAGATTCTTTAGTGTTGTTCCAAAACCAAGTTGGTATTTCGCCCTGAATTTTGTTATCAGCAAAATAGAACATCTTCAATTCATCCTGGAACTGCAGGAAATTGGGGAACTCTTTCATGTTACATGATTCCAATCCTAGAACAAGAAACTTCGGAAGAGTAGCATTGGTAATATTTTTTGTAAACACTGTTAATTTGTTCATTGACAATTCCAACCGAAAAAGGTTTTGGTGCTTTAAAAGAATGTCTAGCTCCAGTTTACCGCTCAAGTTGTTTGAATGAAGATTAAGTTCTCCAAGATATTTGAGCTGAGAAATTGAGCTTGGAATCATGCCATGTAGTTGATTTTCATAGAGGTTTAGAGTAGTTAATTTGGTGAGGTTCATAAGCCAAGATGGAATTTGACCAACTAATTCATTTGAACTGATAGACAAATAGGATAGCTGGGTCAGGTTTGCTAGACACTGCGGTATCTCACCACGTATTTTCATATCTGCAATGTATAATACAGTGAGTTTGGATAGCTTAACCAGTGTCAAAGGTAAGGTTGGTACATCAAAATTATTTTTACCAAGGCATAAGAAAGTTAGTTGTGATAGGTTTCCCAACGATTCAGGAATTTGGCCCCCAAATTGGTTCACACAAAGGCTCAAATAAGTGAGTTTGGTCACACTACCGAGCGAAGCTGGAAGCATCCCAGAAAAATTGCATCCTGTCAAATCCAAATAACTTATGGATTCAAGGTTACCTATTGAATCTGGTACCATTCCGGAGAACCCCGTCCCCCTTAATGACAATTTCTTTAGGAGACTACTACGGTGAAATTCAGGCAGATTACCAGTGAGATTACTATTGTTTGCTATGCTTAGAATCTGAAGGTTTGGTAGTTGCAATATGGTTCTTGGGAATTCACCATACAACTGACAACTCTCAAGAAAAAGAGTTGTTAGTAAAGACATATTTGACAAAGCATGAGTCACTGTAGAAGATACATTGACCCAACTGAGGTCAAGTGCCTTCAAGTTAGTAAGATTTTGAACTAGGTCTTCCAAATTGGGCTTTTCAAGTTTCAGAGCATTTCCAGAGAGATCGAGGTAAACCAACTTTGCAAGACATGAGATATTTGAAGGGATTTGACTGAAAAATACAGAGTAGGATAGGTCTGGACTTGTTAGCCTTGAAAGTGTTCCCATTCTAGGTGGGATTTGAGAATAATTGAAGTGATTGCCGGAAAGATTCAGCCTCTGAAGGTGAACCAAGTTGAAGAGGCTACTATTGGAGTTTATAGAACCGTAGAGAAAACTGCTGCTGAGGTCGAGGCCAACCACATGACCAGTGTCGTGGTCACACTCGACACCATCCCATGAGCAGCAGTCACTGCTTTTTCCTTCGAGCTTCTTCCATGAATCAACCTTTGAATAAGTTGAAGGATCACCTGAAGCAGACTTGTTAATAAAAAAGCTATGCTTGAACTGCAGCAAGGATGAACTCTCATCTTCATGGCATAGTGGCTGCGCAGAAGAGGAAGAGTTAGTCAACATTATAAAAAGATGAAAACAACAACACAAGAGCATGAACACATGAAGATAGAAAGATGAACCCATGTTGCATAACAAACTCTAAGTTGCCAATCTTTGATGATGAAGCTAATGGCTGTGATGTGCTTTTATAGTTGGGATTAGAGAGTCTCAAAAATACATACTAGCACGCATGACACCACGGAAAAGTCTATAAACAAAGTGTCAATGTTCTTGTGTATAAAAAAATAATAATTAAAGAGTGGTGAAAGAATTGACAAATAATCTTTTACCTATATTATTCTCACCTAAGAAAAACTTAGAAAAGTCTTGTGCAAATTAAAGAGACAAAGTAAATCATGTCCTCACAAATAACTAGTGCTCAGAATTCCTAACCAGTGATTAGGAATTCAGTTTACAACATATTCCATAATTAGGCATTTTAGTTTAAATTTTCATTGAAGGGACAAAAAATATATCAAATATCATTGCATTTTTTTTGTATCATACCGTATGTATCAATAGGTGTTAGTTATTAGTAGGGGAAAGGGTAACACAAACACATTGAACTTGGAACCTCTCATCGCAAAATGTCGTTATTAGGTCTATTTGGATAGATGTGACTTTTAAATCGAGGGATTTGAGATTAAATATTAGATGTTAGGGGTTAGTGGGGGTAGGGGAAATTAACAAGGGAGATTGCTTGAACCCGAGCCACTTGGTTGGCAAGCCAACCTATATGTATATGGTATCAGGCTCCAAGGCCATTGGCTTACTATGATCTCAAATAGTGTAATTTTCATTTTATCTTCTAAATTATCACTCAAAAAATAATTTAACTTATATATATTTACATTAATTTTATACTTTAATAATTCGATTTTGAATCAATTTTATCTTTATTGTCAATTGTTGTTTGTAATAAAACAGAACTTACTGATGTGGCATTGAAACTTCTTTTGAAGTTTTATTTTAATCTCCTAAATTATTCCAAAAAATTAATTAGACCCCTGAATATATTAGAAAAAAAAATTTAATTTACATATTAGATTATAATGTTTTATCTAAACAAAGGAAAAAGTAAATTTCAGCAAAAAATTAATATATATGGGCTATCGAGTATTCTTTAAGGAGTTGTTACTAATTTTTGCATCGAGTGCCCTTCGGTCAATGATATTACCAGGTAAGTATTAACCTCTGTATTGTAAGTTGAGATATCTGGATATTCATTTTCATCGTTTAATATTGTTTTTCAAATTTTGGACAATGTTTATCTCAAAATAAGTATGATCTAAATTTTTATCTACACAATTTTCAACATACTACTAATCCATCAATTCTATTGAAATTAATATGAGGAATAGGCTTGCTACAATTTTCCAGAGAGAGAGAAAGAGGGATAGGCTTGAAATTAATATGATCTAATTTTTTCTACATTATTTTTTTGTCTCTACTGTATTTTCAAAACTCACCACTCCCAACCCATTTCCGAGTAGGTTCAGAAAACATGGCACAAAATAAAATTATTATGGGAAAATGTAACATAAATTGAAAATAAAACAAAATTACAATTTTTTACTCAAAAATGTCTGATGTGATAGTCACATGACAATTTTTGTTGAGTAATTGGCCATGAGCGAATGGCCTTTCAAAATGATTCTCAATTAAAATTACAAATCTTATAATTAATCAACATGATTCATAACAAAAATTACAAATTTTATACACACTTTTTAATTAGTGTGTAACAATTAAAATTATTTAGTAGTTCCGATCTATACACTGTGTTGTGTATCCTTTCAATTTATATAGGGTCACTAGAGTACTTTTTCTTATTTTTTTTCACACGTTTTAGACAAAGTGATTATGTGTTCTCTTCCCATAAAGTAGGGGTCATCAATGGGACGGGTCGGGCTTACCCGGCCCGCAATTATTGTGTCCACGTCCTATATATTAATGGATTTTTTTGGATTTTGACCAATCAATGGGCTGGTAGGGCTTATTTAAAAAAATTAAAACCACATTTTACTTGTAAATCCAAATCTTACAGGCCAAAATCAAACCGAACTAGGTTACATATTTTTCTTAGACTTATATTCACATTTATTTTTTCTTTTTTAATAATTCATATGATCAATTTAATTAATACTATTAAAACAATCAAATTAAAGAATAAATTCACCAAATTAACAAATTATGACAATGACAATGTTATATGTAAAAATTTGAGAGTTAGAAAGATATCATCCATTACTGTTAATTTCAATTTTAACAAATTGTATTTTGTGTAATTTTTTTAAAATAAAATTTATAAGGATAATATAGGCGGCCAAATGAGTTTAATTACTAAAATACATTTTTTCTATCAATTTACTTCATAGAAATAAGCAAATGGTTTAAGTTGAAAAAAAAAAAATCAAAAGATTAGTGTTAAAATTGAAAAAAATTAAAATCTCAAGATTTATTTTTCTACAAAGTCAAATTTTAATTTTTTTTTTTAAAATACCTTAAAAACTGTCATTCATATTAATTTATTGAAAAATTTGACCCAAATTCTCTCAGTACGCATTGCTTTAAGTCCACACAATTTTTTTAATGGCTTAGGTCCCTATTTTATTTATTTTGGGACGAAAGGTCCACAAACTCCACGCCATCACCTAATGCCTGACTTTTCTCTCAGACTCTGACGACTTCGCTATTGGAAATTGGGGAGATATCATTTTTAACAATAGTAAAGACCACTAAATTTTTACCATTAATATCATCATTAATGATGTGATAAGTAAAAAAAATAAAAATTAAGACACAAAACACAGTGCAACCACTAATTAGTGGTCTGCATCATTTTTCTTTCATTTTACCTCTTAAATTACCATGCATTTTATAATTTGACTTTCATATTTTAATTTAATACATAAACTTTCAATAAATTGATCAATTTCACCACTGTCGTTACATTCTATCTACAATTAGACGGAACGTGTTGACGTAATATCAAAATTCATTTGAAATTTTATTTTATCCCCCAAACTATACCTTAAAAATCAATTTACCCCCCAAATATAAAAATAAATAAATGTAAATATTTAATAAATAATTTTTTATCTCAATAATGAAAAAAATAAATTTTCCATAATATATACTTTGCAAAAAATAATAAAAAATATAAAAATTCTCATTTTGAATTATTTTGAGACTATGAAATATGGATAATTCGACAAATATGTCGTACCCGTACCGGATACTCATCGACATATGATATTTGTACATACGTATCAGGTACACAAAATATGTACTCAAATTTTTCTTTCTTAATTTTTGGCCTATCCAGACATACCTAATATATATCTAAGCCATGTTGTACCTCAGTCGAAAATAATATTTTTCTTCTATTACAAGGATAAAATTCTTTTTACTAAACTTCTTTTTCATTTTTAGTTTTGTACTTAGTATGGTTTTAAAATTAAGTTATGGTTTATAAGTTATTTAATATAATAATATTTTATTTTATTTTATACCTATGCTTTTGGCATTAAATGTCAATTATATGTTAGATTTAACAAATTAAATCATTTAATCAATTTTTGTATTATTTCAAATTAAAATAAATATTTTTTTACAAACGTATTAAACCATACCTGTACTCGTACCCTACTTTTTTAAGATTTTACCATGTTCATGTACTCATATCGTACCAATACCAGTATTCATACACATACTTGTGCTTCATAGGTCTCAAATTATCTCGAGTTGATCCCAGAGAAACTTATTGAGCTGAAAATTTCTTGACTACTCAATGTGTGTGTGCACGCGCAATTGTAACTAGTTTATTACCCAAATTAATTTCAATATAATTGATCGACTAATAGTAATTTCGAAATTGAGTGGGAATTTTTTTTCAAAATTCAGCAAGTAATTGGTACGAGTACGACATATTTGTTGAAGTATTCATGCTTCATAGTCTCAAGATAATTCTAAATGAGAACTTTTATATTTTTTTAATTATTTTTTTGCAAAGTATATATTATTTAAAATTTAATTTTTTCATTATTGAGATAAAAATATATATTAAATATTTAAATTTAATTTTTTTATATTTGGGGGGCAAATTGATTTTTAAGATATAGTTTGGGAGGTAAAATGACTCTAAATGAACTTTGGTGCCACGTCAGCACATTTCGTTCAATTGTAGATGAAATGTGACTGCGGGATTAAATTGATCAATTTGTTGAAAATTTAAGTACTAAATTGAAATAAATTGAAGTGTGGGGATCAAATTAAAAAATGCGTGATAATTTAGAGGGCAAAATGATATTTTCTCATTGGAAATTAGAGGTCTAGCTAGTATATGATAAACAAAAAAGATTGGAAGATGAAAAGATTAGTCTCACATCTTCTCCTAAAAGTTTCTGTATTGTGTTGGAGACTTCCTAAACTATTTTAGATTTTGTTTAACATGCTCTAATAGTAAAATTAGTTGGCGTTTGATGGCAAAGGGTGTTAAAGAGAGGGATGGTTTAGTAGAGAGATGGTTTAGTGGTGGTGACTTGGGTGCATTGATGATAGCAATTTGGGGAAAGTAAAGTTTCATTTATAAATATGAAAATAAAATTTTATCTTTAGTTGTTGTTGTTATTCTTTTAACAACAATGAAAAAGACCATTAATTTTGGAACTCTAAAAAAATCACTAATGACATGGTACTCAATAAAAAAAGAAAAAAAATACAACACCAAGGTCAAAACATCAAATCATTCTTGGTGGGGCCCACTGCCACATCATTAGTGATAGCACTAATTAGTGCTCTCACTCATTTTCCTTCTTTTAATATGTACTATGTTTTCTTTTTTTGATGTCTTGTTCAGTAAAGTTTTGGGTAAATTACAAAGGTAGTCTCTGTAATTTACCTTTTTTTCATTTTGGTCCTTATTGTTTTAATTTACTCAATTTTACCCCTTAATTTTACGGATTGTGTCATATTAGTCCAATAAATAATGACAATTAAGTTTGATGGACGGATAATCA